GGACTGCGGGCCCCGGCTCGGGCGCGGGGACCCTGCCGCGATGGCACGTGGCTCTGGCCATCGGGGCGCCCCTGTTGCTAGGTGCCGGGGCCATGTACCTGTGGAGCCGAAGGCGGCGGCGCCGGGAGGCGGCAGGCCGGGGCGAAAGCGGCGGCCTGAAGCGCAACAGCGAACGAAAGACCCCGGAGGGCAGGGCCAGTCCGGCCCTAGGCAGCGGCCACCCCGACGGTTCTGGTGACTCTCTGGAAATGGTGAGAAGCCACCCGGGCCGTAGATATGGGAACGAGCGGAGACAGCTTTACCTTCACCCGTTGTGCGGGTGAGGGGTCCTCCCACCGGTCGGAAACTGCCCAGTGACCGCAAGGACTTCAGAGTCGTTTCTAGTTGCTTTTGTAGGGAATGGAGTAACAGCTCCTGGCAGGCTAGCGTAGAGGTTTTCTTTAATAGTGCCCTCTGGGATCCAACAGAATCTTTTAGTTTTCTTCTCAGTGACACAGCATTTATCCCTCGTGGGGTAGGTATGGGAAACACGTACAAATAAAACAATTCTATTAAGCGAAGAAAGGCAAATTTCATGAACGATTGGACTTTTGACACGAGTTCCTTTTGTGATTCCCAAGGCCAGAACTTACTAAGAACCGTTTAATAACCAACGAACCATTTCTCTTTTGGAAGAGGGAGGTGAACAGCTACAGGATAAAATTGGGGAAACTCATTAGGTAGCTTTGTATATAGGAAATAAGCCACTGTCTCTTTGGCTGATAGCATAATTTTCTACTCACTTGCCTGTACACATGTTTCCAAGCCTGGTGTGTCTGGAAAAGTCTCTGGTGTTAGAGCAGCATTGACGTGATGAACTGTTTGGTCTGTTCTGGTGATCTATTAAATCTTTTTGACAAACCTGACAGCTGTGTGGAGCATTGGCATGGCCTGAGATATGAGTGGGATAAGGGACTTTCTCTGGCTCTGGTGGAGTTGTGTGGTGGTATTACCAGAGTAAATCGAGTTCAGAGACTTTCCGGTAATAATTCCAGGTATATACACAAGTAAATCCTTTATACGCGAACAACCGGTGTACTGTACACTTATGTTCATGAGAAAAAATGTGTACGGCTAAATGAATGACAGTCAATCATTCCATCCGAACTAAAGACCCATTTTATTTATTTATTTGCTTATTTTACAAAGTAATTTCAGAAGTTCTGATATGTGACTAGAGATAGTCCTCGCCGTGTGTGAATCGCTGGACTAGCCCAAAAGAAAAGCGTTTCTTCTCTCCTATGGGGAAATAGCCTGTTTCTAAGTAGAAATAACTTTGTTGGGGAACTGAGGAGATGTCATTCTAGGTTGGCCTGTGGAGCATTTTTATTTTGGTAATCCCACTTTATCTCACTGTCATTCTAGTAGACCAAGAGGATTAAAATATTAAGTCCCTTCTATTTCAACCAGCACTAAAAATGTTAAACCAAAGTTTAACATTTAGGATGAAAGCCTGGGCACTGGCAGCCCCAGCACACTGTGCTGGACTGCCCAACTCCAAGAAGCCAATTTCAGAGAATAAGTAATGGTAAAAAGCAGAGATTGATTTAGTGTGTCAACGCTGAAAAGAGGAAAAAACAGAAGGTTCCAGTAACCCCCAAGCATGTCTTTAAGTTGCTCGCAAGAACTTAAGGCTTAAGTAGAGGAAGAATCAGACTAGATGTTTGCAGAATTAAGCATTCTGGTCAAGAAGTGCTGTGGTTGACCTTTGTCTCCAGTCTGCTCCTGAGGGGTGGTGGGAGGGCTGGATGAAGGGTTCCTAAGGGGATTAATCTGGTTCCTACCAGATGATTACTTGTGTTCCAGGGTGTGGACTCAGCATCCAGGATAATTACCCTCATCAGAAGGGTGCTCTGCCCTCTGAAGTTTTATTCTTACTGGAATCCAAGGTGACTCGAGGAAAAAGGTTAAGGACAATGAAACCTCTGCCTTTAGTTGGACTGAATGTGACAGACGAAATGTTTGCAGATATGTTAGGCTTTTATCCTATTTTCAGTCACCTTTTGGGCCAGGGTGAAGTTTTAAGTGTATTTTTAGCAAAAGTGACTTCTAAGTGCTTGTTTCTGGATTGATTGTGAGTGCCAGTGAAGGTGGTTGTCAAAACTTGGTTATCTATTCATTTTCATGTATATGAAATTTTGTACATGTGAAAATTTCATCTATAAAATTTCTATTTAATTTTAATATGGAATAGTAGATAAATGAAAGTTACATAAAAGTTCTTGGTTTTGTAGTAATCATAAATATAATTAAATTAAAAATAAGGAAGCTGGCCTGGAGAAATGGCTTAACAGTTAAAAATGTATATTGCTCTTGCAGAGGACAGATGTTAGGTCCCCAGCACCCATGCCTAACAGCTTACTCCAGTAATTCCGGCTCCAAGGGGATCCAGAACCTCCAGCCTTCAGGGGCTCCTGCTCGTGGGTGCACATAAATGAGCGCATGCACACACATAATTAAAAAATAAAACGAATGGTTTTTATGTATGACACACTGTAGTGTTAGTCACTATTCATGGCATACTTTTACTGTTGGTTTTGAAAGAATCTGTCAGTTCTCTTTTTGAATTTAGATTTCTTTAAATTCTCCTTAGTTTTGCAGTATTTTCTACAGCAGTAATAATGATTTTCATATTTTATGAGTGGGTTGTAGTTTTTATAAGGAATACTTTTGATTGACCTGACTTCTGTTGAATACTCTGTGTAATTTGAACTACTTTAAAATTGTTATTATATTTGTCCCAAAATTAAGCAGAGCAAAACACTTGCATGCACCATTTTCTTACTGCACCATGTAGAATTTAGGGATGTGTTCCTGAAATCTTGTTTGGAATTACTAAATTATTGTTTAGCAAGGCAACACTAAAAATCTTCGCATTTTCTAATGGAAATGTATGCCCTTAATTGTTGGTAAACAATAAATATTGAAGACTATTTTTGTCGTTTAAAAATGAATGTCTTCAGAGTCGTTATGAATGTCCAAGTGTCACTGCCTTCTCGTCCTAATTTATGTGTTCCCTGTGGTTGGAGGAATTACTCTGTAGCTGAACGAGCATTTGTTCCGTTGGAAGAGAACTAGAAGGTTTCCAGTGCTGAGTGGTTTCTCCAGCTGAGCAGTGACTACATTTTAAAGAGAATTAAGGGATCAGCTGATACCTGTTCAGAGTTCAGTATTGGAATGAATAGAAAGCCTGTTTAGTTTTGTCTTGGGACTTAAGTTTGCCCAAATGTAAGATGAACTAGAGATATTGCAGTATTTCTGTCTTTTGAGTTAGATGTTTATGTGTGTGATATGAATCATGGAAGAAAAATGCAAAGCTCTTCATGTTGGTTTTAAGTAATCAGAATTTCAAGGTAACATTAAAGAAAACATCTGATGATTGATAGTTTCTAAGATTCAAGTAAAGTATGAAATCATATTCCATTTAAGCAGTTGTAAAATTTACCAGTGTTCCAACTTGCTTCAGTAGCTTTTTCAAACTTGAATTACAGATTTGCAAAATTGGAAGATTTCTTATTTTATCCACGACACTTTCACGCCCTAGATTTGAGCTACCGCAAAGGACTAACAAATGCACTTGAAACCTGGTATCTGAGCTGCACTAATGTTTAAGAGCAGTGTTTATTTCTTAACTTTATTAATTTCATAGTAACTTTCTATTCAGTTATGTGTTAAATCCAGTGGTTAGAGAAAGTAGCTGCTGTGATGTTCAAGGTTTTTAGCCTTACAGATACTATAACACATAAAATGGTTGGGAACCACAGATCTATGTCAGGATATTATTTCCACACGTTAGTGAAACGGTTAGCTGAAATGAAATTATTCTCTTTTCCTAAAGGATGTGTCTAGTTTATTTCTTTAATTTTTACTTACATGTTTGTGTGTGTACAAGTATGGTTGTGTGCACATGAGTGAAGGTGCCGATGGAGACATCAAGATTCTCCTAGAGCTGGTGTTAGAGGCATTTGTGAGCCTCCTAGCATTGGTACTGGAACAGAACTTGGGTCCATTGCAAGTGCAGTTAGTGTATGCTCTTCACTGAGCTGTCTCCACCACCACCCCCTTTTTTGTTGTTTGTTTGTTTTATGGGGTTTTTTTTTTCCAAGACAGGGTTTCTCTAGCTTTGAAGCCTGTCCTAGCACTCGCTCTGTAGACCAGACTGACCTCAAACTCAGAGATCCACCTGCCTCTGCCTCCTGAGTGCTGGGATTAAAGTCGTGCACCACTGCACAGTCCCCTCCTTTTTTAAAGGCAATGTCTCTAGGCCTAGCCGGCCCAAGACTCGGAGAGCTCCATGATTCCTTTTCCCAGGTACTGGGATTAAAGGGGAATACACTCTCAGGCTTAGCTCTAGTCATTTTTAAAAGAAATTATCATGGGTTACTGGTGATACTTTTATTATAAATAATAGTTTTCTTATCACTAATATTTTATACTGTTCTCTTAATAAGATTTTCTATTGGTGAGACATTTTCCTGATTTTCTTTTTCTAAATATTATTGATTATTAATATTCTTTGCTGGCTACTGTTTTTTTCCTTTTAATAACCTTCATGGTTCTGTTGTGAGAATTCTTACTCTACTAATTCCATGAATGTTAGCCAAACTTCTCACAAGGTCTAACTTAAAGGGAATCTTCATTTGTCTCACAAGTATTTCAGTCTCCTCTTTTTTTCTAATCATACCTCTTCTTAATTAGTGTGCTTCATAAAATGGACCAGGCAGAGTCTTGGGTGTCATCACTATCTCTTTTTACCGTTAAAACGGAATATTCTACATCATGCCTTAAGTAGCTGACTACTCTATTCTCACTGCTGTCGTTTCTCAACTGAATAGCTGTTACCTTTTTTTTTAATTATTATTTTTTATTACAGTCAGCTCTATCCATATTTGCCTTATCCATGGATTCAACAAATGGAGTATCAAAGATATTTGGGGGAAAAAACTTACACAACTATTGAATATGTACAGATTATTTTTCTTACCATTCCCTAGATAACTACAAAGTAATGATTTACGTACACTTTCATTGTACTAGGTAATGAATAATCTAGAGATGATTGAAAGTACACAGGAGAGGACTGGACATTGTAGCTTAGTTGGTAGAGTGCTTGCCTAGCTTAGTTTACACAAAGCTTTGGTCCCTGGCACTGCATAAAACCAGGTGTGATGCTTGCTTGTAATCCTACTACTCAAAAGTAGAGGAAGGAGGA